CCGAGCTGGACGGATCTCAAACCGCAAGCTGCGGCCGGGTGAGGACGGGCTGTGCTCTCGCTTGATCGTGGAGAGGAGACTTTCAAAAGCACAAAGGACAGGAAAAGATTTTAAAATGAGCCTTCAAAATAAACGAGTGCGACAGTCAGTGCATACCTCAAAGCGGAAAACCAAATAAAATGTCAGTATTAACTTTTTATGTGGTTTGTACAAGAACTTTCTTGACTTTTATAGGTATTACTGTACACAGAGGCACTAGTTTTGTGCCTCATTATAGCTGTTCATACAAATGGAACAATTTATCTTGGGGAAATCTTTAGGAAATTCGCAGCATGCACACGCACACATGCACATAACAACAGCCTACCCGCAGGACGGATGCAGTCCCGCTAAGAGAAATGCTTTACTCGACTTGGCGCTGGCCACAGGGGAGGACTCTGTTGTGGGGGATGTGTAGGTACAAGGTAACCTAGGGGGTAGCGATCTGTTGATAGGATTCACTATCCGGGGTAAGGTGGGAAAAATAACTAGTAGGGCAGAAGTGCTAGACTTCTGGGAGGCCAATTTCAATGAGCTCAGGAGATTGGTTAGAGGGGGACTGAGGGGTAATAATATCGGCAAGTTGGGAGTTCCTTAAGGGACTGATCATGCAGGCACAGAGGGGCACCATCCCCGTACATTATAAAGGGAGGCAAAAGAGCCAAGAAACCCTCTTGGCTGAGTAGGGAAATCTAGGAGAGCCTACAGGGGAAAAGAGAAGCTTACAGATGGTGGAAGCAGGGAACAGCCACCAAGGAGGAGCATACTGCTTGGCTGGTGCTTGCAGGGAAGCAGTGAGGAAGGCCACAGCAGAAATGGAACTCAGGCTGGCAACAAGGATTAAGGGTAACACAAAGTCCTTCTTTAAGTACATAGGGAGCAAGAAGGCAGTGCAGGGTAACATAGAGCCTCTACAGGATGGACTAGGGCAACTCATAAAGATAGGATGGACAGAGCTGAACTCTTAAATGATTATTTCTTTGTATCTGTGTTCCTGGTCATGGATACAAATGCTCCTCCCCACAAGACTTCAGTGTGGCCTGAGAGAGATACCAATCCACCGATGGTTAGCGCTGACCTGGTGAAGGGGCAGTTGGAGGGGTTGGACATATTCGTTCGAGTCAGCAGGCTCTGATGATCTTCACCCAAGGGTACTAAAGAAATTGACCAGTGTCATAGCAAGACCACTGGCAAAATTGTTTGAGTGCTCGTGGCACTCAGGACAGGTCCCAGAAGACTGGAAAAGGGCCAATGTGGTCCATATTTTCTAGAAGGGGAGGAAGGAGGACCCAGGAAATTATAAGCTGGTTAGCCTCACCTCTATTCTTTGCAAGACCTCAGAAAAAATCATAAAGGATCACATTTGTGGGGGGCTAGCAGGTAATACCATGTTAAGAGGCAACCAACATGGGTTTATAGCAGGCAGATCCTGCCCAACTAGCCCAGTCTCTTTATGACCAGGTCGGAAAGTGCTTAGATGCAGGAGTAGAGGTAGAGATTATTTACTTGGATTTTAAAAAGGTCTTTGACACAATTTACTTGTAAGAATTGGGTGCAACACTAAGTAGCTGGGATGTGGATTTTTTCACAGTCAGGTGGGTGGAAAACTGGCTTACGGGATGCACAGAGTGGTAGTGGTGGATGGGTCGGTTTCTACCTGGAGAGATGTGGGCAGTGATGTCCCACCAGGCTCTGTCCTTGACCCAGTGCTGTTCAGTATCTTCATCAGTGATGTGGACGAGGGTGTAGAAAGCACTCTGTCCAAATTTGCACATGACATGAAATTATGGGGTATAGTAAACACACTAGAGGGTAGGGAGTGAATTCAGGCAGATTTGGACAGACTGGGGAAGTGGGCAGAACAGAGTAGGATGCAGTTTAACAAAGGTAAGTGTGAAGTGCTTTACCTGGGGAGAAAGAATCACCAATACACCTATAGACTGGGAAATACCATTCTAAGTAGCACAGCAGTGGAAAGGGATCTTGGGAGTCATAGTCGATGCAAAAATGAACATCAGTCACCAATGTGCTGAGGCAGTAAGTAAGGCTAACCGCATTCTGTCACGCAGTAGGTGCATTGCAAGCAGGTCTATGGAGGTGATACTTCCCCTCTATGCAGCATTGGGAGACTGCAGCTGGAGCACTACATCCAGTTTTGGGCACTGCACTTCAAGAGGGATGTGGATAACCTGGAAAGGGTTCAGAGGAGGGCCACTCGTATGGCTGTGGGCCTGCCGGTAAGATCCTATGAAGACAGATTGAAGGACCTGAATCTCTTCAGCCTCTGCAAGAGAAGGCTGAGAGGTGATCTTGTGGCTGTCTACAAACTCATTGGGGTGGGGGGGGGGGGTCAGCAGGGAATAGGGGATACTGTTTACCAGGGTTCCCCTCAGGGTTGCTAGAAACAACAGCCATAAACTGATGAAGAGTAGGGTTAGATTAGACATCAGGAAGAAATTCTTTATGGTGAGGGTTGCCAAAATATGGAATGGGCTTTCCAAGGGAGGTGGTGCTTTCCCCTACCTTGGAGGTGTTTAAAAAGGAGATTAGACAAGCACCTGGCTGGGGTTACTTGACCCCTGTGCTCCTTCCTGCCCAGAGCAGGAGGTCGGACTTGATCTAATTGGTCCCTTCTGACCCTAGAAATCTATGAAATCTATATACACACACCCCACAGAGATAAAACTAACTCCCTCTAAGGTTAATAGAAAAATTCCCAATGACTTGGATAGTGCTATTGTGAAATTGCTGCATTTTTAAATTTACCATTTGCTGACCGGGCCTGTACACCATGCTCACCAGACCAGAGGCAATGGGAAGTTGTGAACCTTATTAAGGGGAACCTATCTGGAAAATAGGTGTGCTCAGGAAGCTCACTGAATTAGGGAAAAGTTAGCCTCCCAACTTTTTCTGCAGGGAGAGTTAAATAGAACAAAGGGACAGAAATGATAAAGCTAGCATATAAAACAAGACTCACAGTACCACATAAGCAGCATTAGGTCAAAGGAACAGTTGGGCATACTTCCATAACAGAGAGGGGAGAGTAGCTTAACCACAGGACCAAGCAATATCAAAGCAAGCAGGCTGACTTAGGGCAGAGATATACAAGCTTCATGTGTTGGACACACCAAAGGGTCAGACTTAAGAATACTTCGGAGCAGTGGGTAAATCAAGGCAAGGGACTACATTTAGGGTTTATTATTTTGTCTCGATTTGTGTATCTGTATCTAAGTGAAGAGTAACTAGTGTTATAATCCTGTGCAAAGTTTGTGTGTGCAGTGAGCATGCCACATCTCCCATGTGCCACTGGAATATTAACCTGAAAACTCAGTTGCCCACATGACTGAAGGGCATGGTGAAACTACTGACAGTCTGAGGGGACTAACACTGCTCTTAGAGGATGAGGAGAGCTGGGTGCACGGACAGCAGTGTCAGAGAGTTTTAGAGAAGAAACAATAATGCTGCAGCCTATTTAGGCCAACTGCCACCCCCCCCCCCCCCCCCCCCCC